TACAACTGGTTTTTTACCCCCTTGCACCCCCTCTTTTTTCTGGGCACCCCTCTGCTGGGGCAGGGCAGCTCCAAACCCCCTAAAAAAAACCAAAAGCCAGCGCTTTTTTTTTTTTTTTTTTTTTTTAACCAAAGTTATGATAGCTAAAAAGGAACAGAATTCCTAAGTATGTTAAATGCTTAAGTATGTTAGTGAATCAGAGAACTCTTTTTGCTAAATGAATGTCTTCAAAACTAGGCGTAGTAAAAGGAAATGGTCTTAGGCAGCAAAATGTAAATTGTCACTCCAGAAGGCTAATCTTAAACTTCTAAGTAACAATCACTAAGCCAAAGTGATATCAAGACTGCTAGAAGTCAGTAATTTTATTCTTACCACTGATCTTTTTTTTTTTTTTTTTTTTTTTGCTGTGGCTGCAGCTCCCTCCGTGCCCGCCCTGGGGAAGGAGGTGGTGGCCAGACGTGGTCAGGGACAGCTCTGCCCCAACACGCTCGGGTGCCAGAGCCAGAGCAACATGGGCTGGAGACACGTTATCGGCTGGGGCTTCGCTCAGGAACGCCCACAGCTGCTGGAGAACCAGCCTGGCAGGGTGGGGAACTGGTCCTCCACAGCCACCACTCTTGGCTCAGGGACAAGGACTGGTGGTGGTGGCAGCCTGGGGTCAGGGCTTGGGGGCAACGATCCCCCCCACCTTGGGGGCTGAACGTGCCCATGGGCCGCACGGAGCTGGCAGAGGCAGCTGGTGGGCTCGAGCAGGGATCTATTTGGCAAAGGGGAGGAAGGGAGGCTGCGAGGGGAGGTGGGACAGGGCAGGTTGGCGCAGACCGGGCAGCTCCAGCCAAAGGTTGAGGATTTCCAAGGCCGGAGCCCTCCCTCCCTCTCCCCCCCCCATTGCCAAGTTTTTCCTGGTAGCCCAGTGGGAATCCCCTCTTTGCTGCCACTTGTCCTGTCGCCCAGCGCCTCCAGGAAGAACTGGGCTCCCTCTGCAGAGATAGCTCAGTTCCCAAACCCCACTCCCTTGGGCCTTCTCCTCAGCCCCCACGGGCTCCAGCCCTTCTGGCAACCTCCACCAGACAAAGGTGGCCCCAGCCCTGGCCGCAGGTACGGTCCCTTCTAACCTGCAGGACACCAGTTTCTCTGCAACACCCCAGGGGCTGGCAGGGACCTTCCCAATCCCGCAGATGCCCCTCAGCAAGCAAAGACCCGAGGCCGGGCAGTGAACACCTAGTGCCAAAAACCCATATTTTAATTCCACGTTGAGCCCAGGCCACCTGCAGCAGCAGCACCTCATGTCCTGCTGCCCTCCAGCCAGCCCCCCCTCACCGGGGGCTGACACCCCAAACAAGCAACTGCCTCCAGCCCCCCCCACCCCATCCCTTCTTGCTGCCACACTGGGTGCATTTGGGGCCTTGCTGCCCCACCAGTGCTCTGTCACCTGTGGAGACACTGCCACATCGCCCACAACCAACGAGACTCGGCGCAGGGAAGTCACCCCGGGGTGCTCCCAGCAGCCACAAAGTGCTCCCCGAGACGTGAAGGCTCCACTACAGAAGCCACCACCAGCTTGGCTGAGCAGAGCAGCCCCTCCACTGGGCTCAAAAAACTTGGATGGCCGGTTTTCCACCCAAGCTCAAAAGAAGGGGGATAGAGGGGGGCGTCAGGAGATACCCAGAGGAGAGAAGGTGGGTGCCTGTTCTCTCGCACCCCCCTGAACACGCCGTCCCCATCACTCCTCCAGTCCCGGCTCCACTGAGCATCAAACCAGGACAACATCAGCAGGCAGCAAACTTCTGCTGGATGAGTCTGTACCTGAGCAGCTCCTGCTCAGAGACGGAGGGCTGCAACCTCGCAGCAGCCTGCAGGAAGTCCTCCATGGTCAGGATCAGAGCAGAGCTCTCGGCGTCCAGCCCTGCGCGAGAGGGAGAGAGAACAGGAAAAGGTTGAACGCCAAAAGCGGCAAGATCCAGCAGCCACTGGAGACTGGAAGGAAAAAAAAACCATCTCTCCTTCCTCCTTCTGGAGGTGAAGATGATCACATCCACCCCATCTCTCCTTCTTCCTTCTGGAGGTGAAGATGATCACATCCACAGAAACTGCCTCCCGGTAACCCAGAGCCCAACGTTTAGACGTGGTTCCAGAGCTGTTGAGGTTCTTCTCGCAAAGCCCCGTGACCAATAGGGGTACCAAGAGGTGGGACAGGCAGGGGCTGGGCTCCTACCTTCCTCCATCCATTCCACCTTGCGTTTGACAGCGCACATCATGGCGTCCGAGCACAGGGCGTAGATGTCTGCTCCCGTCAGCTGAGCCGGGCATTTTTCTAGGATGGTGGTGAGGTTCACGGATGGATCTAGTTTAAACCTGCCAAGAGAGAAAACCGCAGGTGTAAAAGCCACAGGAAAAAAAAAAAAAAACCAAAACCAGAGCAGGGGAGAGAGAGAGGCGATAGCCAGTGTGGCTGGGAGGGAAGAATCAGAGGCCCCACGTTTGGCTGCTTCTGGTCGATGCTCTGCGCCCTCAAAAAAAAAAAGCATCAAAGGGGTTTGTTTATTTGTTTTCTCAACACAGTCACTTCTCTTAGCCCTCTCGCCTGCTAAGTAGGATCAAAGGTGACTTTTGAGTTCTCACTCGGAGAAATTAAGTGCTCCACATGCCCGGCTGGGAACAGCCTACAGCCAGGGCTGGACAAGAACATGTTTAATTACAGACAGCACAAACCACTGTAACCCCAAAGCACCCCACAGGAGCCAGGCTGCAGACAGAGAGCCTCCTCCAGCACGAAGAGCAGCGCGGTGCCGGAGGGCAGGCCGGCCAAGCCACACGGCGTGAAGAGCTGCTCTCGCCTCCCCTGGCAGCTTATCCTCAAAAAGCAGCAGGAATCACAGCTATCCACAACAGAAAAAAAAAAAACCAAACAACCCACCACCTTTCTGTAGAGGCATTCACAGCTGCTCACCCAGCTGTGGTAGGTTCTACCTCTGGACCTCAACTCCAGGGCTTGCTTTTCTCCCTCCAGAGAGATGCTCTGAGGATCTCCTGGGGAAGGAGGCAAACCCCACTGCTCGGTGATGTTTGGAACAGAGCAAAGGCTGGACACCCTTCAGCACTGCAGAAGAGGCAGCGAGACAAATGGAGCTGCCTTCACCCTGGGAGCTGGAAACAGCAGGAGATGTGCTAGGGGAACCCATGCAGGAAGCAAATGGGAGCTTGCTGCCACGTTGGTGTGCTGCAGTCCCATCACACCGTTACTGAATTTCACTGAATTTCACTGAATTTCTAGAGTTGGAAGGGACCATAGAGATCATCTAGTCCAACTCCCCTGCTGAAGCAGGATTGCCTAGAGCTAGAGCATGTTACTCAGGAGCATCCAGGCGGGTCTTGAAAATCTCCAAGGAAGGGGACTCCACACCCTCCCTGGGCAGCCTGTTCCAGGGCTCTGTCACCCTCACCGTGAAGAAGTTTCTCCTCATATTTGAGTGGAACCTCTTCTGTTCCAACTTGTGCCCGTTGCCCCTCGTCCTGTCAGTGGGAACCACTGAAAAGAGTCTGGCTCCCTCCTCCTTCAACCCTCCCTTGAGATACTTGTAGGCGTTGATAAGGTCTCCCCTCAGCCTTCTCTTCTCCAGACTAAAGAGTCCCAGCTCTCTCAGTCTCTCCTCATAAGGGAGATGCTCCAATCCTTGAATCATCTTTGTTGCCCTTCGCTGGACTCTTTCTAGTAGATCCCTGTCCCTCTTGAACTGGGGAGCCCAGAACTGGACACAGTACTCCAGTTGTGGCCTCACCAGTGCAGAGCAGAGGGGGAGAATGACTTCCCTTGACCTGCTGGCTACACTCTTCCCTATGCAACCCAAGATACCATTGGCCTTCCTGGCCACAAGAGCACACTGTTTACTCATTGTCATTTTACTGTCCACCAGGACCCCTAGATCTTTCTCTTCAGTAGTTGCCTCTAGCAGGTCCACCCGTAACCTATACTGGTACCTGACATTTTTCTTCCCCAGGTGCAGGACCCTACACTTTTCCCTGTTGAACCTCATGAGGTTCTTCCTTGCCCAGCCCTCCAGCCTGTCCAAGTCTCGCTGGATGGCAGCACAGCCCTCCGGGGTGTCAGCCACCCCTCCCAGTTTGGTATCATCAGCAAACTTGCTGAGGATACACTCTGTCCCCTCGTCCAGATCGTTAGGATCTGGCTAAGCTCCTCAAGAAAATCATGTGGGCACAGCGACTGGAGAACTCTACCAACGCAGAGATGCTCCCATCTTGTTGGGAAAACAACCAACCCCTGTTCTGCTTCTTGAAGTTGCCCCATCCTCTTCCTCTGGCTGTGGGTCAGTGCCCAGGGCTCAGACATGAAGCCAAGCTGGGGCACGCTACACGTCAACCCGAGGAAGACTGTCATTTACTGGGGGGTGGTGGAAGGCTGTTGGGAGAGGACAGGGTCACTCACCGCCTGGTGACGGCGCTCAGCACCTGCAGCTGCGACTCCCGGTCTTCATTTATGCCCACGTAGACCAGCTTGTCAAACCTGTCAGCAGAGAGGAGAAACAGTGGAGAAGAGACCAAGACAAACCCAACAACCCTGTGCAACGGAAACAAGGGTGGCCCTGGGGCAACTCCTTTTGCTGCCAACTTTGTGGATGACCCAAAGCTCAGGGGGAAGGAGTCAATGTGATGGAAGGCAGGGCTGCTCTTCAGAAGGACCCGGGCAGGCTGGAGAAACGGGCTGACAGGAACCACACGAGGTCCAACAACAGCAAATATGGAAGTCCTGCCCCAGGATGGGCAAGCTACAGGCATGAGGACAGGCTGGGGGGAATCAATCAAACCTGCCAATTTGGTACCACAGCAGGTCCTTTATTGACCTCTTCTGATGCTGGGGCAATACTCAGAGCGGTGGGAGATAACAAGGAGTGGTATCTTGTGCTGCTGCTGCAGCCACAGGTACTGGCCTGCTCTTGGCCTCCTATCTCCCCCAAAAACCAGGGCCAGGGGGCTTCAGGAATGGTCTTGGTGGAGGGAACATGGTGGAGACACCGTCCAGCTCATCGCTGCCTGAGGAGCTTTGGGGAACCACCCTGGACCGAGGCAGGGTAGGATATGACATACCTGCCCGGCCGGAGCAGAGCTGGGTCCAGGAGGTCAGGCCTGTTCGTAGCTCCAATGACAAAAACTTCTCTGGTGGAATGAAGGCCATCAAGCTCAGCCAGGAGCTGCGAGACGACTCTGCAGGAAGCAAAACAGGACACTCACATCAACACCTCGGCAAGCCATCCACTGTCACCCTCAGCCACCAAATGAAAAGAGGAATAAGCGAGGCCACCGGCAGGTCCATGCCTTGGACTTCAGCTCGTATTTCTCTTCCCTGAAGAGCCCCAACACAGCCACCCTGAATTCTCCCTTTAAAAGTGCAGCCAGCGAGTGTGTGGGCTCATTGCAAAGTTGAGTGCAAACCTCTGGTACCAGGACAGTCCTTCTGGCCTGCAGGACGGCCACATGTGCTTATACTTACCACCAGACACTGGCAACACCGACCAAACGTAGGCAGGCACACACGGCCATGGCTCAGGTTCCCCACTCGTGCATGTGCTGGCTGATCCTACCTCTCCCTGCTACGTGGTACTGCCCACTGCCCTGTCAGTCCACGCTGGGGACACCCTGGCAGGCCACTGTCACTGCCCACCAGCCCTCAGGGCAGTGGATGGCACACAACGCCCTTGCTGCTCTGCTTCAGTGCTGCGCTGGAATGGAGATATCTCCACCAGGTTCTTGGGATCACCTGAGGCAACTGATGGGCACCATACCCAGCCACTTCCGAGAGCCACTGGTTTGTGTGTGTGAAGATGGTCACTTGGGACACATGGTGTCATTGGAAAACTCTGCAGAACCCCCATGGATGAAGAGGAAGACTTGATGGGGACTATCAGCTCAACAGAAGAGGCCTGGGGGGAATAACCCTGTTTCTGGGTATCTCTACATATTTTGCTTTTACCAGAAGCAGCTGAAAGGTTTCCCACTGCAGGGAAACAGCAGCTAATGGGAGAAGAGCACGGCAGGGGTGTGAAGGATGACCTTGGAGAGGCCAAAGGGAGCAGTTGGCAGCCACAGAAGCAGCTGGAGGGGACTCTGTCTTAACCAAATGTTTGCACAACAAGCTTGGGCAATCAGGAATCTGCGGCAATGCAATCAGCAGTACTAATGTCCAGAGAGAAGAGACAGGCCATGAAGAGGAGCTGAAGGGAGCAGGGAAGGGAAAGAAAGAGAGTTGGGGTGGACTCTGTCTTGCAGGGCAATCCGAGGTGTGCTGCTCTCCCAAGGACATGTAATGCTCACTCACCTGTCCATGACACCCCCCGAATCTCCACTCCGCCCACGACTCGGGGCCAGGGAATCCAGTTCATCAAAGAAGATAATGCAGGGAGCAGCTGCCCTGGCTCTGGCGAATACTGGGAAGAGAGAGGACAAAAGGTGTCACTGGAGGAGCAGTCAACAGCAATAGGACCCGCGACATCACCAGCTGGGAAGAGCTGTGGACGGAAACCAGCTGCTCACTGCCTCACCACCACCAACTGCTCCTTCCTGAGGGGCTCAGTGGGAGCAGGGACGAGCAGCACCCCAGAATGATGGGCCCCAACTGCACCTCACATCAGGAAAACCAGGGACAAGAGTGACAGGCAGAGAGAAAGCAGGAGAAGAAGGTGCTGCAAGGCAGGGAACAGACTGGGTGTAGGAGACGGCCGTGCCCTTGCAGGCAGCTGCGGGTGGGAGTTGGGAAGAGGGGTTTAAGCACTACCTCCCCCTCTCCAGCACCATGGAAAAGCCCCATCTTCCCACATGTAGGAGTGGGATGCATCTGCTCACCGTCACGCACGTTCTCCTCGCTTTGCCCCACGTACATGTTGATCAGCTCTGGCCCTTTCACACTGTGGGGAAGGGAGAAGAGGGAGCCAAGTTAGAGCATGGCCATCCACTGCCAAGAGAAAGTCAGCCCCATCGCACGGACCCCCGTTCTTCACCTAAGGAATGTCATGGCACACGTGGTTGCCACTGCTTTTGCCAGCAAAGTCTTCCCTGTCCCTGGAGGCCCATACAGCAGCAGACCAGAGCGGCAAAGACCCAGTGAGAGCAGCTCCGGGTGCTCCAGGGGCAACTGGATAGTGTCCAAGATCTCCTTCTTCACCTCCTGGAGCCCACCAACATCCTGCCAGGACACGGAGGGGATCTGCCAAGAGGAGGGAGAAGGCCCTGTCAGCACTTCTTCCTGAGCCTCCAGCAAGAGCGTGGGGAGCTCTTGCTCCAGTGGGGCACTAGTCACCGGCCCCTTGTGCCACCAGTTGCGCCTGGTGGCTATAGAGCAAGTCAGCCCCCAGCTGTGGGATCCCCCAGCATCCACATTTCCTTTCTCCTGAGCTTTGCAATGGGGGAAAATGATTCTATGATTCTATAAAACCAACTGCGCGTGTCCCCAGGCGAGCTGCCACCTTGTCTCCAGTCCTCTGTTGCACCTCGTATCACCTGTCAGTGAAAACACCTCCAAGAAAGTATCTGCCAGGGTTATCTGCAGTTTTGTGGGGAGAAAGCCCTGCTGCTGTCGGGACGCACGAGGGAAGGTCAAAATAAGAAAGAAAAGAATTAAAAAAAAGGAAGCCACACCTAGCAATTGTGAGCTACTTGTGCTCAGGGCACCTTGTCCCCCAGGGTGGTGAGACTGTGCAAGGGCTTCACACCAGAGTGACAAAACCGGGGCTACTGGGAACCTCTGCCACGTGAAGGAGGATGTGAGAGACAGCCATCCTGGAGAACACTGTCCAGAACACTGGCTGCTTTTGAAAGGGGGGGATGGAAGAATAAAGTCCGTGGATGCTTGACAAGAAATAGATAGGGATGGGGCCAACTGCAAACATGCAAGGGATCGTTTGGGAAGAGAGGGAAGCCAGCAAACTTGAGAGGGGTGAGCCATGGCGCTTTCGTTATGTCCTGCTGAGCAAAGCAGCCTCCCAGGATGCTGCTGCTCTGCTCGCAGCGTTAAGAAATAGCAGGAATGCCACAGCTGGCGTGACAGATCCTCCCGAGAGCCAGAGCAGCTCCCCTGGGGAACACAGAGGGAAAGCAAAGCCTGAAAACGTTTCCCCCAGAGCCTCTGGTGTGGGGTGGGGGGAACAGGTGCCTGCACAAACGGGGAGTTTAAAAATAGGCCGGAGCAAAAATTCTTTCCCCCACGGCCAATTTGGCTCCCCTTCCTTCCCTGCTTGAGACGATGTTATCTCCTGCTATTTCTCCAGCTGTCCAGCAAGTTCACCAGGAAAAGCAGGTCAGACAAGATAAGGATTTCCAGAAAAAAAAAATAAAAAATAAAAAAAATCTTTTAAAGCAAAAAGTCACAGGCCCTACTTCTTCAGTGCCGATAAATGGAAGAATTGCCCTCTCCCCTGCGCTCCTGCTTACACTGCCTCACTAGAAAAAGATCTCCAGATATCAGCAGAGGAGCTGGCAAACTGCAGCAAGGCTCTTTTCAGGGGAGAACATCATCAGGCTGGGACATGGCGCAGACACCGCTAACAACTGGAGGTTGGAAATGAGTTGTCTCCAGCAGGCTCAACCCTAACTGCAACTAAATGCGCGGGACTGACCGGAAAAAGCAAGCAGGGGACTGAAAATTAGGTGTGTGGAGAGTATCCAGGTGTGCTAATGAGCTTTCTGAACCGCAGCCAATTAAGAAGAAATTGATAAAAGGACTGTAAAATACAAAGAAATTCAGCTCCCACTCACACAGCCGGCTGTCGAGCTCACTCTACGGTTATTATTTGTCTTAGGGCAAACTTGGCCAAACACTTGGCCCCAAAGTGTTTCATTTCAATCTCTAGTAAATTTATGAATGAATGAAGTCCCCAGGTAGCTCCTGCATGAGAACACCAGCAAGGTGTCACCCTGCTAGGGCAGGACTGCAGGTGGGCGGCTGGGGAAGGTGCCAGAATAACTGCTCCAAGGCCAGTGTTCCCCGTCCTGCGCTGAGCACAGGGTGTTTGCACCCGAGGGTGTGGAGAAGAGGCTCCAATCACTTCACTTGCTCCTTAACACCACGTTACCCAGCAAAAACAGTCACCCCAAACGCTGTTCCCCTGCCAGAGGTGGATCACACCCCTCCCGAGAAGCTGACTCTAATGGTTTTCCTCTGACGCTCCGTGTCCCTCTCTCTGAAGAACCCCCAAGCTCTTCAACCTGCCCATCTGTCAGAAAAGCCTGTGCCAGCTCCAGCAGCATCTGAGGCCAGGGATCAGGTATAAGGCTTCTCACACACGTGGGGAAACTCCCTCACCAGCTCGTGCCCCAGCCTCTCTGTTCTCCTTACACCAGGAGGCTGGAGATACTTCAGCAAGGGAGCCAGCCTGCGGGTTGCCTTTGCCTCTCGAAAAGCCGAGCGACACAGCTGGCACCCCTGTGGAGCTAATTGGAGGGGGCTCCAATTAGAGCAGCAAGGGCTACCCTGACCAAATTCAAAGCCAAGAGGATGAATAACCACTCCTGGGGGGAAGGGGGGGGGGGGGGAAAGCCCACAGCGGGCCTGTTTCCCACCCAAGGCTGGGGGAATACAGATTCACAGAATGCTATGGGGTTGGAAGGGACCTCTGGAGATCATCTAGTCCAACCCCCTGCCAAAGCAGGTCCACCCAGAGCAGGTTGCACAGGAACGTGGCCAGGAGCGGGTATGAATGTCTCCAGGGAAGGAGACTCCACCACCTCCCTGGGCAGCCTCTGCCAGGGCTCTGCCACCCTCAAAGTGAAGAAGTTCCTTCTCGTCTTTAGGTGGAACTTCTTCTGTTCAAGTTGGTGCCCATTTCCTCTTGTCCTGTCCCTGGGCACCACTGAAAAAAAGACCAGCCCCATCCTCTTGACACCCTCCCTTTAAGTATTTATAAGCATTGATCAGATCCCCCCTCAGCCTTCTCTTCTCCAGACTCACCTCTCCTTGCAAGGGAGATGCTCCAGGCCTCTCATCATCTTCATAGCCCGTGGAAGGACACGTACGTGGAAGGACACATACATGGAAGGACACAGCAGGAAGTGGCATGGTAGAGCACAGCCCTGCCTGGTGAGAGGTACTGAGTCACATAGCTCTAGAGAACATAAGAGGTTCCACTCAAATATGAGGAGAAACTTCTTCACGGTGAGGGTGACGGAACCCTGGAACAGGCTGCCCAGGGAGGTTGTGGAGTCCCCTTCCTTGGAGATTTTCAAGACCCGCCTGGATGCTCCTGAGTAACATGCTCTGACAAGCTCTAGGCAATCCTGCTTCAGCAGGGGAGTTGGACTAGATGATCTCTATGGTCCCTTCCAACTCTAGAAATTCAGTGAAATTCAGTGAAATTCAGAACCAACTCTCCCCTCCTCTGCCTCACCATCCTACCTTTGGGGCTCCCACCGCCTGCGAATGTGCGTCGTGCAGCTGGTCCAGCGCGAGGCCAAAATCCTCCTCCAGCACCGGGAACCCGGCAGTGCAAAAATCTCTCTCCGCTTCCTCGCTCAGTCCGCCAGGAAAACTGGTGAGGAAAGAGAAAGGAAGGATTCGGGCTCTGCTCCCCACTTCTTGGGGTTTTCATGCTGGCTGCAGCCCCTGCCCTCCCCCCGCCTCCTGCCCTGTTGCCTGTGCTACCTCAAGGCCTGGATGCGGGTACAAGCAGCCCGGCTGCTGTGGGACAACAGGGCACAGAAATCTCCCAGCACAAAACCCTGTGAATGCGGAAACAAACAGCATCAGTTCAGTCTCCCTGACCACAGCTCCAGCTTCAAAGGTGTACGGGGAAAAATTCCTCCCAGAGCTGCTCTTTGAGCTTCTGTGCCCCCGTTAAAAGGTCTAGCTTTTTTCTTTTTTTTTTTTTTTCCCCTACTAGTTCTGTCTTCTAGCAGAGCTAAGCATCAGCCAACACCTCTGCAAAAGGTGTGCAGTCCTTAGGCTGCAGTTAAAGCTGATGTCTGAGGACCAGGGTTAACCACTGAAGAAGTTGACTAGGCTGTAGGAATTGCCCCTTTTCCCCACGGCCAGGTAGGGGAGGTTGGCCCAGCACTCCTGTCCTGCCCATCTCCACATGCTGCTGTGGTTTCACTCACTGCAGTCCTGCGGGCCAGCTTGGACAGGCTCACTTCTTTGCCCAGAGGCAGACTGGCAGTCAGCATGCTCAGCATCGACCTCCTCTGCTCTTCTGAAAGGGCTTCGATTTTCACCTCGTGGAGGAAAGCAGTCTGCACGTCTGTAGGAACATCCTGGGGTTTGCAGGTTGTGCCGATCACCAGGACGGGGTGGCTGTTGAGAAAAGGTCAACAGCACATGGTCTCAGCTCTTTGGAAGCTTCCCTCTTACATTGCTACCACCCATGCCACGTTGGTCTGCAACGGCTGAGGAACGTGCACGTTGGCCAAGTGTCTTGCAGCCACCCTCCCCCAGCTTGCCCTTGAACTGCTTTGTGAGCTCTGTTTTCAAGTCAAGGCCCTTCAAAAGGCATCTTTTTTCTTCAAGGGATGTCTCGTTCCCTGTGCCCTGGTACTTGTCATCAACCTCAAGGTTCTCCTGGGCTCCAGCTCCCTCCCAGGGTCCCTACGACCCTTGGCATGTCTTGCAGCCAACGCGCCAGCTTTGCTCATCTGAGCAACGCAGAAACCAGCTTCAGAAAACGAAGCTTCCCAATTCCCTCTGCCACTAAGCTGGGCCCTCTGAAGTAAACAAAGCAAGTCTGGGAGAGACTCCACCGGATTAAAAATAACACAGGGCACGTTAGCAATCAGTCACCTTGATGTACCAGCGACTGCTGCCCTAGGAATGGCAGAAGCAAACAACCCCCCCAGATGCTCATAGCAAACGTGCAGGGTCCGTACCTCAGCGATGGGTCTCTGTCCAGGAGCAGCTGCCTCAGAGTAGCGATGACCCTGGCGTCCTCTCCTTGCCTGTCCCGGTCTCTGCCAAGCACCTCGATGTCTTTCAGCAGGAGCACACACGGACGATATTGCTGGGCCTGGGTGAAGGCCACCTGTACTTTCTCCTGTGTGGCTCCGCTGGTGTCACCGCACAAACTAACGCAATCGACCTGCAAGCCAGACCACACGACACCACAGTCCGCAGAGATTGCGACAGGGACAGCTGGGGGACCCAGGACAACACTCAATTCCACAAAGCAGTGGAGTGAGAGGACGAGAGGCAACGGGCACAAGCTGGAACATAAGAGGTTCCACTCAAATATGAGATAAAACTTCTTCACAGTGAGGGTGACAGAGCCCTGGAACAGGCTGCCCAGGGAGGTCGTGGAGTCCCCTTCTTTGGAGATTTTCAAGCCCCACCTGGATGCTCCTGAGTAACATGCTCTGACAAGCTCTAGGCAATCCTGCTTCAGCAGGGGAGTTGGACTAGATGATCTCTATGGTCCCTTCCAACTCTAAAAAATTCAGTGAAATTCAGTGAAGCTTTCCAAGTGCAATTGACAGCTGAAGGGAGATCTAAAATGGATGTTTCCCAAAGACGGGCTCAGGACGTATTCAACACAGATACATTCAGGACTCTCTGGCATGGAAAAATGGCTGTGTCTTGCTTCTCTGCAGGAGGTTGAGGGGGGCAGGAGGGTCTTGTCTGAAAAAGGTGAGGCCAAGGGACAGAAGGCATCGATACAGGGGATGTCATGGCTCAGCAAGCAACGCTGGAAGGGATAGGAGAGCAGTGGAAGAGGTCAAGACAGGGAGAACAAGGTGTCTCAGAGGAACAGTGCAAAGAGCAGAGGGGGAGGCTCAGGAAACTGTTCAACCCGGTGCCACACAGGCTCAAAGTGCAAGAGGAAGGTAGAAGGTAAGGGGTGTGTGTGTGTGGGAAGTTAGAAGTGGCTAGAGGCCCAGACACTGTTTATAAAGTAAACATTTGATAAAGTAATCTAAACAGGAGAGGTGACTGGTGAGCCTTGAACATTCCACCTTCTCTTGAACGCTGCTGGAAACAGGCAGTGCTGCCTCCTGGTGCTGCGAGGTCACACACAGGGAGCCAGACCATCTTTTGGATTCCCTGGGCCTCATTCTCAGAAAGGGTAGTTTGGAGTAGGGAGGACACCTCTAGGGCTGATGTAAAGGGTAAGGCTGGGGACACAGAGCAGAGGAACTCCTGTGCTCCGTATACCCTAGACAAAACCAGGAGTTCAGTTTGTGGAAGTGACAACCAAATGGCAGCAGTGTCTGTATGCAAGTACAGAAGGGCAGAGAGAAAGGACAAAAAACTGCTGATGGTCCAGTGGTGGAGGTCACCATGGAAGAATTACTGTGGCCTGGTAGGAAGCAGGCAGAAGAGTCAGAGAGGAAGGGATGAGAAGGTGGGGTGGTAACATTAGTATTGCAGTAAGTGAGAAAAGGAGAGGAGTATGTAAAAGCTGGGATAGGAGAATAAGGTGGGCAGGAAATAGCTCTGGCTTCAACAGTAAGAGTCTTGGTCTTTAAAAGCAGCACACAAGGCCAAAACCAGAGCTATAGCCTTACACTTACACATCACACTAGGATCTGAGGCCACCAGCCAGGACATGGCAGGGACGCAGTGCTCCCAAACACATGGATCTGAAGGTACTGTGAAGTCTCTGCAATCTTGCACTGGATTCTCGAGAGCTACGGCATGTCCACAGAAGAGTAAGAGCTCAGCATCTCTAAGGATCACGTCCAGAAGATGAGCTCCACAGCAGTTGGCTGAGGCTGTATCTATCTCCCCCATTCACCCACTGGTACTGCTTTACTTGGATAGAAAAGAACAGCTAAAAAGAGTGTAATGTCAACCCAACAGGACCCAACTTCTAAACAGAAAAAGAAAATCCAAATATCCAAAATGCGTAGCTCATTTTCTATGAGTTTACTCTGAAAATACCCATAAAAAAGGAGCAAGCCTATGTTTCCCTTCCACACAAAGGAACCTTCCAGCTCTCTTCTTTCCATCTTTCTTCTTCTTCCAAGTCCTTTCAGAGTTTCAGAAACTCTCCAAGAAAAGTCACCACGTGACTTCCAATCCTCTCACTTTTGCAAACGTAACTCCACACGTTCAAGGAGATTAAAGAATTTGCAGGATACACCCAGACCATCAGAGTGAACAAAAGGAGTGTGCAGAAGGAAAGCAGTATTTTTAACCCATCGGTCTTGGTGGCCAGAACCTTCGGTGCTGAAAAGAGACAGGAGCTAGACCTCATTTTGGCCATGAAGATTACCCAGTACAGCCACAGCTGTAGGAATGGCTGGACTGGTTCAGACCAAGAGCCCCTTTAACCCACTATTTTGACTCCAAGCACAGAATCACACACAGAATCACATGGGGTTGGAAGGGACCTCTGGAGATCATCCAGTCCAACCCCCTGCCAAAGCAGGGCCACCCAGAGCAGGTTGCACAGGAACGTGTCCAGGTGGGGTTTGAATGTCTCTAGAGAAGGAGACTCCACCACCTCCCTGGGCAGCCTCTGCCAGGGCTCTGCCACTTTCACAGGAACGAAGTTCCTCCTCATCTTTAGGTGGAACTTCTTATGGTCAAGTTGGTGCCCATTTCCTCTTGTCCTGTCCCTGGGCACCACTGAAAAAAGACCGGCCCCATCCTCTTGACACCCTCCCTTTAAGTATTTATAAGCATTGATCAGATCCCCCCTCAGCCTTCTCTTCTCCAGATTAAAAAGACCTGAGTCCCTCAGCCTCTCCTCCTAAGGGAGATGCTCCAGGCCACTAATCAACCACAAGTGCTGCTTAAGGAGGAGTAAGAACAGAGTAAGCTCATATAACCCTCTCCACTCAGTACTCTTCCAGGCACCCACCATTCCCACCAAAAGGGATTTTCCCAGTCAGATGTGACTGATTTCATAACAAAAGATTTCTCTTCCAAATACTCTTACCTACACAACCGACCATTCCCTTTAGCTTGTCTTTTCCCACTAGCTCCACCTGGCAGCCCCAGAACTCATGCCAGCACAGAGAAAAGTAAACATTTTCCACTCTGATCTGATTGTTTACATATATGGAGAACAGACCTCAAGTTTTCATGGAGCCATTGACATAAAATCAAATGCTTGATACTGACTGGTGACAATCAGTTTGAAATCTATCATTTCCCATGCAACACTAACTACAGTGAATTTTACCTGCCATTTCTCTGCTCAATCGCTTGGTTTCATTAAAGGTCTCTAGTCCTAGGACAGTCTGTCTCCCTTTTCTTTTACCTTTACTATCTTAGTTATCAACAAGCCACCACATCCCAGTTCACCCCCTTTCCCAAATCATTTCTGAGCTCCCAGTTAGATGCCCACAGAGCTCTGCTGCTAATTGCGAAGACTCATCAACTACTCCCATCCCAGTCCCAACCACTTAACCAGCACTTTATCCGTGCCAGGACCTTCACTCACAACCCATCGCCACTCAAGTTTCTCCAAGAGCCTTTTCAAAACCCAAGTAGACTGTGTTGGTCAAGTTACCTTCTCCCCACGCTTGGTAACACCTTCAAGTAACCTTCTGACAGGATTTCCCATTGCAAAATCTACATGGGTTCTTCAAGAGTGGTGAAGTCATCCCAGACTGTACTAACTCTATCCTCTGCCCTAACCTGCTACAGGTTTGTGCCCTTTGAAGGATGCCTCTGTTTTGTCTTCCATTTACTTTTCTCGAGCCCATCCCAATGTGATCTACGCAGCGACCTCACTCTGTGGAGCGGTGTCTCTCATTCACCTCCTCAGCAGATGCAACGCTTCCTTTTCTTGGCTGATTCTTTCCTTTTCATGGTGTTCCCCTTCCAAAAGCCAAGCACTGCTTATGGAATATTTGGAGGCCTTTTTGGCTCTTTGGGGGGGGGGGTTGGGTGAATGTGTACCCAGTTACAGGGCAGCTCTTCTACAGGCCATGAGATTTTTGAACCAGACCTGGCACACATGCTGTTATCAAACCAAGAGCTGCATTTCTTTTCTAGGCTTCCCACCCAGCTAGAGAAGATCTCCACGCCATCCCTGCCTCGCTTTCCGCCATGCCTTCTGCCCAACCTACACGGGGACAATTGAAAACACCCAACGCCACAGCAGTTCTTGCCCTCATCACCTCTCCAACTTCTCGCAGTATATTTTAATTACTGCCACCCTCTGGGGTATAGCACCAACTCAACGCCCTATCAAATGACAGGAAGTCAGTCTGCTGAAATACAACCACGCACTGCAGTACCTGTAGAGCACCTCAGACTGACAGCAATAATAGCAAGAGACAGTAAAGAAAGGTACAAATGCAATCTCTGGACCAAGAGATCTCTAAATTACTGATTTTGGAGCACTGGAGAGTACACGCCAAAGGAAACATCTCTTCACACTCATGCACTCTTCCTCAGCATGTTACTGGCCAGTCTCAGACACAGCCCAGGGGGCCAGACAGTCCTTCAGGCTGACCCAAATGCTTGCTCTGAGGTTCTGCCCACCACCCATGCCAGAGCGAGCTGCTAAACTCAGCAGACTCGGGGCTCCTTTTCTCTGCCCTGTGCACGTGGGAGCAGCTTCCGCGTAGTAGGCTCACGTCACAGTTGCAGTATGGCTAACTTAAAAAAGCTGTAATCCTTTAAAAATTCTGTAATCCTTTGCATGTTGTACATCCACCAACCAACTGACTGCAGGAGGAATTACCTTGAAGAGGTGGAGGTTGAGGCAGCTACAGGCAGCTCTGACAGCCATCACCTTCCCACTGCCACTTGGCCCCGAGAGGAGAACGCTGCCAGCCCCGCTCAGTGCACTTGCCCTGGAACAAACACAGAGGCAGCTCTTCCAGTGCTCTGGGATGGGGGTCTCAGCTCTCCCGGGGCTTGCTAGAAGGAATTTTAACTCACCGACTGTTCAGGTGAGGCTGAAGAGCATCACAGAGCTGCTTCACAACATCAGAAAGGCCAGCAGGAGACAAACTGCTCCAGAACTCATGGCTGTTATAGGCTGGGCTAGACGGGACCGCGCTGTTTGTCGAACCCACCTGTGAGGAAGGGAAAATAGCACTCTGTGGAACACCACCCAGAAAAGACATGTGACAAAGTGACAAATTCTGTCCTGAAATGCCATTTTTCAACGGCAAGAGGCACAAGCCTCCACAGGCACCTTCATCATCCATAGTACAACCTCAGCCTCAGATCTCCTGCACACCCTCCCAGCTCTCCACTGACGTCTTACCAGATAGACAGAGGTGTTCTGGGTGTCCACCAGGTAACCCTCAGACTTCTCGCTTTCCACCATGCCTAAAATCTTCCTCGCTTTGAAGTAAAGCTCTGGCCACCTAAGGGAGAAAGGTGTTAAAATCGTTGAGTCAAGATCTTGACGACAGGAACAGCAGAGCTGTCAACAAGAAGACAGCTGAAAGGTACAGGTAAGCAGAGTTACTCTTGCCCTCTCCCAGGACCCACATGGATCCTTTATGGACCCTGCAGTGCTGTCTGGCAACAGGACTGTCAACAGTTACAGCTTCTGCTGGTGGCTTCAGTCCACAAGTACAGCTGTACTCATTTCATCTAAGCTCACGACATCCTCTCTTCTGCCATCGCTGCTTTCACTACAACGCTGCAGAGATTCACCTGCAGAGTCTAAAACCTTACAGCACAGAGTCCTCTGGGCTGCAGACCAGGACTCACCCAAATACCACAAGAGCCTTAGAAGCATCCTGCCCTGGAGGCCTCACAGGAAGCAAAATGCTTCCTCCTACATCAATATTCCACTGGACAGATTAAGGGACCTGCAGAGGTTTCCTCTAGGATTTTCTCCCCCCTCTGAATAATTGTACCACTCACACACCAACAGTTCCAAGCTCTTTAGGTCCCTTGAGCTCTGCTGTCTTCTCTTGCTTGCCAGAGGGTTAATAGATAAGTCCACAAATGGAAGACTTGTGCCTCCCACGGTCTGGCCTCCCTCCAAGAAACAGCCTAGAAAATACTCATTGTAGTTGGCTATAAAACTATTAAACTTTAAAATCATAGAATCATAGAATTTCACAGGCCGGAAGGGACCTCCAAGGGTCATCTAGTCCGACCCCCCCGCAGTCAGCAGGGACACCCCCAACTAGACCAGGTTGCCCAGGGCCTCGTCGAGCCTCTCCTTGAATATCTCCAGGGATGGGGCCTCAACCACCTCCCTGGGCAACCTGTTCCAGTGCTCCACCACCCTCACAGTAAAGAACCCCCTCCTAATCTCCAATCTAAATCTGTTCCCCTCCAGCTTGAAGCCATTTCCCCTCGTCCTGTCACTACAGGCCTTTCTAAACAGGTTCTCCCCAGCCTTCCTGTAGGCTCCCTTCAGGTACTGGAAGGCTGCTATTAGGTCTCCCCGGAGCCTCCTCTTCTCCAGGCTGAACAACCCCAGCTCCCTCAGCCTGTCCTTGTAGCAGAGGTGCTCCATCCCCTTGATCATCCTTGTGGCCCTCCTCTGGACCCTCTCCATCAGGTCTATGTCCTTCTTATATTGAGGGCTCCAGACCTGCACACAATACTCCAGGTGAGGTCTCACCAGAGCAGAGTAAAGTGGCAGAATCCCCTCTCTGGACCTGCTGGCAACGCTTCTTTTGATGCAGCCCAGGATGGGATTGGCCTTCTGGGCTGCAGCTGCACACTGCCTGCTCATGTCCAGCTTCTCATCCACCAGCACCCCCAAGTCCCTTTCCTCAGGGCTGCTTTTCAACACCTCACCCCCTAGTTTGTATTGGTGGCGAGGATTGTTCCGGCCCAGGTGCAGAACCTTGCATTTGCTCTTGTTGAACCTCATGAGGTTCACCTGGGCCCACCTCTCCAGCCTGTCCAGGTCCTTTTGGATGACATCCCACCCCTCTGGTGTATCGACAACACCACACAGCTTGGTATCATCCGCAAACTTGCTGATGGTGCCTTTAATCTCCCTGTCTATATCATTGATAAAAATGTTAAACAGCACCGGCCCCAGCACGGACCCTTGAGGAACACCACTTGTGACTGGTTTCCATCTGGACTTTGAGCCATTGAGTACTACCCTCTGGATGCGACCATCCAGCCAGTTCCTTATCCACTGAACAGTCCACCCATCAAATCCGTACCCCTCCAATTTGGCAATCAGGATGTTGTGGGGGACCGTGTCAAAGGCCTTACAGAAATCCAGATAGATCACATCCATAGGTTGCCCCTTGTCTACTGACCAAGTCACTTTATCATAGAAGGCCACTAGGTTAGTCAGGCAGGACCTGCCCCTAGTAAAGCCATGTTGGGTGTCCTGGATTACCTCCCTGTCCTTCATGTGCCCAAGCATGGCATCTAGGAGGATCTGTTCCATGATCTTCCCAGGCACAGAGGTGAGACTGACGGGTCGGTAGTTCCCAGGGTCCTCCTTTCTACCCTTTTTAAAAATGGGTGTGATGTTCCCCTTCTTCCAGTCTGCAGGGACTTCATCTGACTGCCATGATTTTTCAAATATCATGGAAAGTGGCTTGGCAACTACTCAGCCAGTTCCTTCAGGACTCTGGGATGTATCTCATCAGGTCCCATGGACTTGTATATCATACATAGCGGAGCTGAGGAGCGTTACAACACGCCACTAGTACACCCTGTGTGAATGAGTCAGGGCGACCCTTTGCCTCAGGTGCTTCGGTTACCCGTGGCAGTTCCCTCAGTGACACAGCTGAAGTGTGTATATTAACGCCAGCAAAACCTCCCTGCAAGCACCCCCGCTCTGATACAAAGGTGACTTTCATTTAGCACAGAACTGTGCTAATTGGTGGCCAAGCAGAAAGTTATTCCAACGTGAACTGCAAGGGGCAGACACTTTGTCTGTCAGATACTGACAAACCCAACTTTCACTTTGCTTTCTTCATGTGGCTGTCTTCAGGCCATCCCTTCCTCCCCTTCAATCCTTTTCCCCCTTTAGTTTCTCTCTCTCTTTTTCCTTTCTTCCCTCCATGACCATTTGAGTGAGCTAAGGGAGGCCTCTCTCTTAGCTGCAGCCTTCCATAATCCAACAAAAACATTTCCCTCTTTCCCCTAAAATAAGAGGCAAATAGACTCCTAACTCCAGGGACAGATCAGAACGGAATAAACCATCTTGTTTCAGGAGAGTCAACAGTGGAAAATCTTTTCCCTTGCAGTACCCATGTCATAGAGCCACAGTTTGTTGCCACCTACCTTGGAAATTTGTCTGCATTTGCTTCTAAAAACTCGGCGTATCCAAACGTCGGAACACATAGGATGTCTCCCTCCTGGACAAGCCTACGAAAAAAAATAACAGGAAGTTTCATCAGTGAAAGAGAGTAAATTCTTCTGGCTGTGTGTCCTCCCCGTCCCATACCACGTGTGTTTTCACAGAAAAGAATGTAGCTGCTCACGACGACTCACACCTTTCCTGTAAATAAAAGTATAAATATCCACGTAAGGATTTAGCACGCACTGGATGTGAGTAGACACATCCAGACTAAGGGGAAACTCCTGGGAATGGTAAAGATGAATGCTATTAAAGAGCATCTCTTCCAGACAAAATAGCCTCCTTATCCCTGAGGATAACTCCAATAGAACGCCTCGACAGCCAAATGCAAGGGGATCGGGGACAGGTGTCATAAGAGAAGATGGCAACACATCCCGTTTCCCGATTGCTCAACCTCATTCCAAGCTGAAAACTGGGGTTACGAGCAGAATGGAGGTTTGGAGGCACCATTTCGGTGTCCTCAGCGCTGGATGGCAGATCACGAGGAAGGAGACTTGAGGCTGCCTTCCAAAGGACAGGACAAGAGGTGTTGTGTGCAGCTGAAGGACAATCATGAGAAGGTGGTAGAAGTGGGTATTCTAAAACTACTCACACCATGAGCCAGCAATGTGCCCTTGTGGCCTTCACACCATGAGCTGATGATGTGCCCTTATGGCCAAGAAGGCCAATGGCATCCTGGGGGGCATCAGGAAGAGTGTGAGCAGCAGGTCCCCAGCTGGAGCACTGGGTCCAGTTCTGGGCTCCCCACTTCCAGAAGGACAGGGAACTGCTGGAGAGGGGACAGCAGAGGGCTACAAAGATGATGAGGGGCCTGGAGCATCTCCCTTACGAGGACAGGCTGAGGGACTTGGGTCTTTTTAGTCTGGAGAAGAGAAGGCTGAGGGGGATCTGATCAATGCTTATAAATACTTAAAGGGAGGGCATCAAGAGGATGGGGCTGGTCTTTTTTCAGTGGTGCCCAGGAACAGGACAGGAGGAAATACTAGAATAGAAGAAGTTCCACCTAAAGATGAGAAGGAACTTCTTCACTTTGAGGGTAGCAGAGCCTTGGAAGAGGCTGCCCAGGGAGGTGGTGGAGTCTCCTTCTCTGGAGACATTCAAACCCCACCTGGCCACGTTCCTGTGCAACCTGCTCTGGGTGGACCTGCTTTGGCAGGGGGTTGGACTGGATGATCTCCAGAGGTCCCTTCCAACCCCATGTGAGTCTGTGATTCTGGTGCACATTATGCACAACATCAGCGCGTATCAGAGCTGGGCACCACAGACACAGAGCGGGGGCACATCTCACAAACACACGAGGAAGAGAAACGCGTCCCCGCGCAGCTCACCGGGGCGTTTTGAAGTGCTTGTAGAGGAGGCGGTCGTAGCCCCCCTGGGCGCTGTAGGCGGGCGAGCAGACCATCTCCAGGTGCAGCTCCTTGGCAAAAGGGGGCACGGACAGCACCGACCGGCTGCCCTTCCCATCGGCGGCGCCGGACCCTTCGTACCTCTGTGCGGGGGGAAAGGCCACACCATGAGACCCCCGCCCACGCCACTGTCAGCCCCGGTAGGCCTCCACCCTCCCCCGGCCCCCGGTCTCACCTGCAGGCGGAGGTTGGCGGCGGGGGCGGCGGGGTCGCAGCCCAAGTTGAAGGCCAGTGCGGGGGCCAGCAGGGCGGCGCTGTCGGGGGGCCCGCGGCGGGGGGCCCTCGGGTACTCCCAGGCCGGGGGGCGAGCCAGAAGGGCCGCCAAATGCTGACGGGCCGTCCCTTCGGCCCCCACCCGCACCCACTCCCCTTGGAACAGCCCCAGGGCCAGCAAACCCCGCCGGCTCACCCACACCTCCGC